TTTCTGCCTCCTCCCCGCCACCGCCTCCCATTTCCCTCCCCCTCCCCCGATCAAATCCCCCTCCCTCATCAGCCCGAAGAGCAGTCAGGGTTCCCTGCCCTTTGGGAAGTCCAAGGACCACCCCCCTCCATCCAGGTCTAGTAAGGTGAGCATCCAAACTGCCTAGGCTCCCACAAAGCCAATACGTGCAGTAGGATCAAAAACCCATTGCCATTGTTCTTGAGTTCTCAGTAGTCCTCCTTGTCCGCTATGTTCAGCGAGACCGGTTTTATCCCATGCTTTTTCAGACCCAGGCCAGCTGGCCTTGGTGAATTCCCAATAGAACATCCCCATTGTCTCAGTGTGTGGGTGCACCCCTCGTGGTCCTGAGTTCCTTGCTCGTGCTTTCTCTCCCTCTGCTCCTGATTTGTTCTGAGACAGGATCTTATATATCCTAGGCTGGTCTTGAACTAGAGATCCTTCTGTGTCTACGTCCAGATCACTGAGATGACAAGGCCTGTACCACCATGCCTGGCCCGTTTTCTTTGTTCAAAGATTCTAGTGCTGGGCGGTGGTGGCGCACGCCTTTAATCCCAGTACTCGGGAGGCAGAGGCAGGTGGATCTCTGTGAGTTTGAGGCCAGCCTGGTCTACAAGAGCTAGTTCCAGGGCAGGAACCAAAAAAAAAAAAAAAAAAAAAAAAAGCTACGGAGAAACCCTGTCTCGAAAATCCAAAAAAAAAAAGATTCCCCACACTAAACTCTGCCTTGTAGCTGGATGTGAGTCATGGTAGAAGAGAAACGATTCTTAGAATTTCACTGTTGCAAACCTGTCATTCCTGAATACTACAGGTCTCAAAAATCCCCTTCTTTTCTTCCCAGAAAGTCCCATTGTCTTATATGAGTTCTTTGAAGCCACCAGGCTCTGGGAATTCCACAGAAGGACATAAATTGGCTATGATTCCATTACTGAGTGCTGCTCAATTTAATGATGTGATCTTGACATTGTTCAAAGATCAGAGCACGTGGTCAGGCTCAGTGTTTGAAATGAGGTTTAGGCTAATGATGTGCCTGGATATGGGAGCGTCTTGACTAAAGAGCTGTGGGATATTTGGATTTGATCAAGGTTTACTGGGGATTCTGTATTTGCCGGAAGAGTGGAGATGGAGTTAGGCTGCCTTGACCGAAATAAACGTTGGGTGGCCTGCTGATTTCCATAATGCGTTTGTAGAATTTTGCATGTCTTAGATGCTTTCAAAATGACATCCTTAAGGTTCAAATGCCTGGAGAATAAAGGCAGCAGAGAACTACTTGGAGAGATAATTTGATTTGTGTACATTGTCCCTTTTTTCCCCTGCTGCTACTTTTTGCATGTCCTT